CCCCCTTGTTTGAAATCAACAACATTTTTATATATTTTTTAAGCGTAAACACCATCAACAGCACCACGAACACCATCAACAGCACCCCGAATATTATGAACAGCATCCCAAACATCATCAATAGCACCCCAAATACCAACAGTAGCACCACGAACACCATCAGTAGCATCTCGAGCACCATCAGCAGCGCCAAGAACACCATCAGCAGCACCTTGAACATCATCAACAGCACTACAAATATCGTCAACAGCACCTCAAACATCATCAACAGCACCACGAACACCACAAAAAGCACTACAAATACCGTCAACAGCACCCCCAACTACATGAACAACACCACAAACATCACCAGCAACACCACGAACACCATCAACAGCACCCTGAACATCATTAATAGTACCCCGAACACCATCAACAGCACTACGAACATCATCAGCAACACTACAAACAGCACCCTGAATACCATGAACAGCACCACGAACATCATTAATAGTACCCCGAACAACATCAACAGCACCACGAACATCATCAGCAGTACCATGATCGCCATCAACAGCACCCCGAATACCATCAGTAGTAACCCGAGCACTGTCAGCAGCGGCAAGAACACCATTAGCAGCACCCCAAACATCATTAGAAGTACCCCGAATATCATCAACAGCACCCAGAATACCAACAGTATCAGCACGAACACCATCAGTAGCATCTCGAGCACCATCAGCAGCGCCAAGAACACCATCAACAGCACTACTATAATGACATCAACAAATCCAGGTAAGCAAGTAAATTTCCTGTTAGTTTGGTGAAACAATCCACAAAAATTCGAGTGAGTATCATTTTTCCTAAATTGCGGTGCCCAGAATTGTTCTCATAGAGCAATTCTGGACACCGCAATTTCGGACAAATAATAACCTATCCTGTTAGCGGCTTATGTCTTTATTTTCTTACTCTAGCAATCCCGTCTTCTATTTGTGTAAGTAATGTTGGCAAGAATGTCATCCTCAATGCCAATCAATTCATCTATTCTCCTACTCAACAGAGCTACGCAGCTGGTATGCTTAGCAACCAATTTGGTGTCTATCAGGCTTATGGTTATGGCAACGTTACTTCCACATCGATTTGGGCTGCAAGTCAATCATCGAGACCAACGGGTGCTTATTTGGTGGCACAAGTGGACAGAAATCTAGTTGTCTACACAGCTAGTGGAAGTATACTTTGGGCGATAAACACATACAACAATGGAGCGGGTTCACCTTTTTGTCTAAAAATGCTGGATAGTGGCAATCTTATTTGGGTTGATAGTACGAATACAATTATTTGGCAGTCAAACTCATCTGGATGAGGCTTTAATCATATGATTCTCTATTAATCTAATGCATAAACTTCTCATCAACTCATCTTAACAGACAAGAACATTGTGCGCTAAGTTTTTAAGTGTTGTAATGCTTCAATACGGCACAGTAGTTTTTCTTTTCCTTTAATAAATACATTTTGACAGCAAGTCTATGTTTTCTTTGATAACAATGCAGCAGCACAATAGCACTGTTTTAATCAATGTGAAAATAGGTTTTTTTAATTAATTGTAGATGGGTGAGGGTATGGGTGTAGGTACGAGATTGATCTGACCAAGCACACCCACATCCTTACCCTTGTTTTACCTTACTTAAATGCAAATACTAGTTGATTAACGCCTGAGATATATCTATAAACTACTCGGCTTTTGTTTTAATTTTTTTTCTCAAAATAAAAACTTGAAACTTATCTGTCGTATGTTACTTTTGAAATCTTGTTTATATCAGCATTCCATTGTGTAGTTGTACAATTTTTAACAGCTTTGTGAAAACTGCCAATAATTATGAAAGTTTAGAACTCAATGAGAAAAAACATGAGAAAAAAACCAGCGGCAGAAATAGTTAGAAACATAATTTTTTGACGACATAAATTCAAGAACGACATTTCACCAAAACCTCAACGTAAGAAATTATACGATAAGACTTTACTGCGGATATTTAAAAACATCTAGCAGGACATAAAAGAATCTACAAAGAAACATCAAAAACCGTTTTTTCTTCTTAGTTGTTACACTTTTTTCCCGGAAAAATCTGTACATCATCATAATTACATTCTCCTTGTTCGAAGAATTTATTTTTACTCATTCCTGCATTCCCATTGGCAGAACTATTTTTCTTGTCCTAATGCTTACATTCTCTTTCCTTAACAAAATTATTTGCACTCACATATGAAGAGAAGCAAACAATTTCACAGACCGTTGGCTCCTGAAAGCCGTCAGGAACTGCGACAATTCACACGATCCGAGGAACCAGGAACCGCTTTGCCCCGCTGAAGTGGTAGCTACTTGATCTCTCAAAATCTTCAAATTAGAGTTAGCATATAGAGAGTCACACCCGCACCCGACTCAATTATCCTTCCATTTTAATCAACTTTCGGCGAAAATGCGTTATTGACGAAGAAATTTTCTGCGAGAATGAAAATAATTTCTATGTGCTTCTAAATGTGTAAACATTTCATAGTGAGCTAATATGAAGAAAGAAAAATTCTTTAACTTTTCTCTGTGTTTATTTTTTGGAAGACTGGCAAAATGCAATTTTGTCGTATTCATTCTTTTCTTTCTTGTTTTTGCCACTGATTTAAATAGAAGTGTTGTTTATCGTCATTTTTTTACACTGTCACTCTAGCAAAATAGAAAAAAAAATCGAGTTGCGAAGCGCTTGAAAACCGATCAACACTATACATAAAGAGAGAAGCAAGTTTGTACAGCTTTTTTGTTACGATATTTCGATCTGTTCAAAAATCTTTTTCTTATCCGTACTATGAGCAAAAGTAAATCAACATTATCGGCTACTAATCCGGCTTCTTCGACAACTGATTCGATTAGAAATACCGCGTTACAAGAGCCAGCACGTCGAATTTTACAAAATTTTCTTTTAGTTTGGCTCGATGCTAATTTTGACGAAATCAACAAAGACTTAAAAAAATCGCTTGACCGTGTCAGGCGTGTTATACCATTCATTAAAACATTCACAGATGCGCAGGAATGTATTGATTTCCTTAGCAAAATCAAACGGGAAAAAATTTTCATGATCGTGTCTGGTTCGCTTGGACAAACAGTCATACCAGAAATTGAACATTTGCCACAATTAGACTCGGTCTATGTATATTGTGGTAATGAAGAATTCCATAAAAAATGGGCCCAAAAAATATCTAAAATAAAAGGGGTGTATAGTAATATCGAACCGATTCGCAATGCACTAAAAATCAATCGTGAAAATTGCGATCGCGAAACAACTAAGATTAGTTTTAATGGTATCGATCCAATTTTTATGTATACGCAATTGTTGAAACAAACAATTTTGGAAATTGAAGACGACGATAAAGAATCGATGAAAGAGCTCGCTGAGTATTGCCGCTTTCAGAAAATTATCGATGAAGAACAAATCGATAAAATGGAACATGAATATTACGATCATACACCGATTTGGTGGTATACAGCACCTTATTTTATTTATTCAATGCTTAATGCTGGTCTTCGAGAAATGGACATCGATATTATATTGAAAATGAACTTTTTTATTCGACATTTACATAATGATATCGATAAGTTACACGATGAACAACAAGCTTCTTCTAAGAACACTACTCCGTTTCCCGTATATCGTGGTCAAGGTTTATCATTGGAGAATTTTGATAAAATGCAACAAAATAATAAAGGTGGATTAATGTCTTTTAATAATTTTCTTTCTACTAGTCTGAATCGTGAAACGTCACTTGAATTTGCACGTGCACCAGTACTTAAAAAAGATTCCGATATGGTTGGAATTCTTTTTGTAATGACTATTGATCCTGTCGTATGTGCAAAATCATCGATACCTTATGCAGACGTAAAAGATGTTGGGTTCTTCAAAGCCACAGAAGCTGAAATACTTTTTACAACACATTCAGTATTTCGTATTGATCATATTAAAAAAATTTCTGATACTCAAACGGATCGTCTATGGGAAGTTCGTCTTACTCTCGTTGGTAAGGAAAACAACGAAATGAACGAATTAACTAAACATTTAGGTAAAGAAATATCAGGGGAAACTGGATGGTCACGATTAGGTGATATACTAAGGCGGTTGCGTGAATCCGAGAAGTGTGAACAACTGTACAACCTACTTCTTGAAAAAGCAACTACTGATCAACAACGAACAGAATACTACAATCAACTAGGAAGGTTGTATTGTGACATGAACGAGAACTTAAAGGCACTTTCATCGTACGAACAAGCAATTGCAATAAGTAAAAAAAATTTCGATATACCTTTAATGGCTAATATCTACAGCAACATCGGTGAAGTGTATCGACAAATGGGCGAGTACTCGATGGCACTTTCGAAATTCAATACATCAATTGAACTTAAGGAGACATTTCTTCCTTCAGACGATCCCAGCTTCGCTCCTACGTACAACAATCTTGGTCTGGTGTATGCTTCCATAGAAGAATACGCGACAGCACTTTCTTATTATGAAAAAGACTTAGAAATCAGTAAGAAAATACTGCCTCCGAATCATCCAGATTTGGCTGTTTCCTACTGTAATATCGGTGATACGTATCTGCGCATGGAAGAATACTCAAAGGCACTTTTATACTACGAACTATCGCTTGAAATCCGAAAAATAGCTCTTCCTCCGAATCATCGCTATTTGGCTAGTTCGTACTGCGGTATTGCTCATGCATATAACGCTATGAACGAGTATTCTAAGGCAATTCAAGCATATGAACGACAACTTGAAATTGAAAAAATAAATATCCCTTCGGATCACCCAGATTTGGCTATTCCGCTCACCAATCTTGGATTCATATATATGAGCATGTTTAAATTCTCAAAGGCACTTTATTATTATGAAAAAGCATATCAGATTGATAAGAAAACTCTCTCGCCAGATCATCCACGTTTATCTAGAACCATACAGGCCATTGGCATTCTGGAAAAAGCTGTCGTGATACATCCAGAATCAGATCCGATTGGGTCTGAAGATGAAAGTAAAGATGTATGAACAAGAAAATAAATCAACAACAAAGCATACAAATCATCAAATAAACTAATTAGTTTTTTGTATTTTTAATTAATTTTTAATTAGATAAATGCAAGAATGAATAAATTTAAACAAAAAAAGTCAACTAGTTCCTAAGAAGAAGAATACCAATTTTAGAAATAAACAAGCTAAATATGAATGTGGCTATGGGTGTGAGTGGATGTGCGTGTACATGAGGAAAAGAAACTCTCACCCATCGTCACCCTCATCTTTATAAGAAAAGATTTTGACAAATGTTTTTGAAAATCAAAGAAAACCTATTTTACAAATTAATATTATTTTGTATCATTTAGTTTTCCATAACAAATAATTCAAAAGTCTTGACTCGGTTTTAATATTAAGTATTTTTTATATAGTAAAACATGTGATTTGGAAATCTATCTCTCGAAAGAAAACAAACAGATACAAAACACTTTAGAAGTAAATTTCATTAAAAAGGAAAATTATCCGTAAATTCGATTTTGATATTGAACTATATAATAATCAAAAAATTAAAAACTTTCATTTCCTTGAACAACATTAACAAGTCTCTGATCAAAACCGAAGAAACTCAAGTAGAAGTTTGAAGAATTTACGGTTAAAATTTTTCTTTTTTATAAAATTTATTTATAAATCTATAGTTGTTTTTAATATATGAACTAGTGAAATCAATCAAGAACTACTTTATAGAACTTCTGAGATATATCCTTTATCTTGAGAATGTGGATGTAATTGAAATAGAACATCCACACCTATATCAAACTATCCTTTTTTATCATCCTCTACTGTCATCTATGCACCATTTTCTTTTTTTGTTTCTGTTGGTGAAATTTATTTAATGTTCAACAATGAACATTTCTTCTTTGTTCTTTGAGATGATGAAAACAATGATATTCTTTATCATTTGCTCATAATTTAGGACACATACATTATGAATAAAAATAAAATGATTGTTTCTTCATTTTCCTTTTGGATTTTACTATTATTCTGCTTTATTGAAAAGAATACCATCTTGGCATTACCATTAATTGATGCTGAAGGCAAATGGACAATTGTTGAATCTCCACAATATCCTGAATTTAATGGTATTATACTTCAAATTAAATACAAACAGCAAGAAGACTCTTATAACGTTAATGCACATATAATTAATAGCTTCGGGTGTTTTGTACGATTTAATCCTGCTGCTGATGAATGGAAATCTTCTTATTGTGCCGGAACAGAAATGTATATCCTAGACGATAAAGAACGAACAAAAGAAGATAATCTTTTTAAATTTATTCGGAATATACAAAAGATAATACGTGATGACAAAATTTTCCGTATTATCACCAATAATGGTGAACGGATCGATTTAATCCGTGCAGAGTAACTTAGAAAAACGTCATTAAATTATCTGTACTTATCTCGATAGTTTTTGTCTTTCTTGCGAATAAAATAAAATGATCTTCCGTTTTGAGATAACTTTCGGAAACAACTTTATTGTCTCTATTGACTCTTTTTCTTTTCAGTAATTTTTTTGATACACGCAATAGTGTATGTTAATTAAGATGAAAATGAGCAGCTGTCGATAAAAAAAACTGTGGTGAGCATTTCTTCTTTTTAATTTAGTTGAAAACAAATGTCGCTTCTTGTGAATATCGCATATTATATTACTATTTACATTGGTATACCTCTATATATTTGTGGAATATTTGGTAGTATACTTAATATTTGTATTCTATTCGCAAATCGACAAAATCCATGTACATTTTTATTGATTTATTCATCAATAGTTGATTTTTTAGTACTTAATGTTGGTCTACTACCACGTATTTTATCTGTAGGATTCAGTATTGATCCTACTTTAACTAATCTTATGTGGTGTAAAATTAGAACTTATGGATTACGTATAACAACATTGATCGCTATCTATAGTGTTTCTTTAATGTCAATCGAACGATTCTTTAGCAGTTGCCGTACTGTACGATGGCGACAGTTGAGTAATATATCTTTCGTTCGTTGGATAACATTTTTAGTTACTTTCATTATTGCTACGGAAGGTCTCCCATTTTTTATTCTTACTCAAATACTTCGATCAAGTACGAGTATTAGTTGTACACCAATGTATAATTTAATTTTTGCTAAATATGCATCATTTTTTTGTATACCGGTGCTTTTTGGTACACTACCTTTGGGTATTATGGTAATTATGATTATTTTGACTTATTTTAAATTACATGGAAGAGTTCATCTTCGAAAAGCTCAACGTTCATTAACATTAGCTATATTTCTTCGAATATTCTTTGCTTTAATTTCTTTAGGTCCTTATACAGTATATTTCGTGTATTCAGCTATTGCTTCTATAACTGTACCGATTAAATCTGGTGAAAGAATAGCTGTAGAAAATTTTATATTGGCTGTGATTAGTGTTTTCCTTTATATTACATATTCTTCATCGTTTCTTATCAGTTTTTATATATCAACAACATATCGAAAGCAATTAACTAATCTATTTGGACAACCAACAGGAAGAAGAAATGTCGTTCGACCTGCGCAGATGGTAATATAACACAAGCAGCTCAAAGAAAAACTCTAATTGTTGTAATTAATAAAGAAGAAGAACAACGACGAGATGAAACGTTGTAAAAGTATATATTTACGTACTGAATAACATCTAGATCTCAACAAAAAGGTTATGTTCATGTTCATCTGTAGAGTCTGAATGAACACAAAACTGAAATTAAGTCACATACATAGTCTTTTCAGAGATGGGTGGGTGTGGATATAACACTGCCCTTTAGAGTGATCGTTTCATGAACGCTCTCTTAATACTTTTTGCTACTATGTGTGTCCGTGATCTTTGATTAAAAAATCATATTCAAAATCCTTTCAGTCGTTCTTTATAGCAACGATGGTTCCTTTACTGTATTTAATAATAATAAAATCAAAATATGTACACTTGTCTGTTTTAACAAGTGTATTATAGAGAAACCTTTCTAATTCATGAGATGTTAGTTTATGGTTGATTGATATATTGATAGATAGTGACACCTGTCCAGCAACCAGTTAAGAGTTGGCCACCAGAATAATGCCAAGTATGAAATTCTTTTCTCATCACAAAATAGAGATTGTCTAAATTAGGATATGTTTTAGTGTCGCTAACTTGAAACATTCCAACATTTGAGTCTCGAAGATAATTCACAGCATCAGTAGTCATAGCAGATGGAACTGTACCTTTATATGTCGTAGTACCGTCAGGAAAAGCTAATGTACGGAAAAACAAAAGAGAAAATAAGTGACAACAAAATAGTAGACGAAAAAAGTTATTTACGAGGATTGTTGTAAGGACATGTGACTCCTTCTCCCCAAGGTCCATTATAATCTTGAGGAGTTGCTTTTTGATCTAAATCGAATTTAGCAAGACCTGAAATACAAATTTAACCTTATAGACTTTGATAAGTATTGCTCGATTCTTATAAATATATAAATTTTGATTGATTTTACAATTCATTTCCATCATAAACTCGTAACACGGCCAAATACAGACAAATGATTATTTACCTTGGTTACCACTTATATATTTAGCCGATATAACAACTAACAAAGTTGAAGTTGATAGTAACAGATAATACAATAGTGTATTTTTCATGATTCGGTTTTTTTTCAAAAATAAATTCGGTTGCCTACTCTTCAGAAAAGTGTGTCGATAGAAGAATGTGATAGAGCTTGCATTTATTTAGAGCAGCTGTGATTTTCACAAGGGTATAAAAAAGCACACAATACTTATCGAAAATCATTCTTATACTATGATAAATCTAAAAAGAAGAAAGGTATTTGAAATAAAGAACAGAAAGCTACAGAAAGACAAAAACGGGCATTATTAAAGCGGGTGTGAGTGAGAGATGATTGTAATATTTGCACTCACACCCATCCAATACTGAACAGTGTCGACATTCTTGAAGGTGTGGGTGTGGGTGTGGATTTGGGTAAATAAAAGATAAATCCACATTCAAACTCTCGATATTATAGCGCATTGATTGTTACCGCTCTTCAGGGTAAAGGCAGAGATGAATTATTAGACAACGGGCTCTATGAAAAACATAAGAGCTGGCTTCGCGGAAAAGATCTTCATGATGATATAAAATCAATTGCTGAAGAATTGTATAAAAGAAAATTGATTATGAATACAGTATTTGAGAGAAAGAGTATATAGTCAATGCTCTTGAAGCTGCATCATGGGTGTTTTGGTCTGAAAATAACTTTGAAAATGGTGCACTTGCTGCTGTTGATCCTGGTGACGATACTGATACAACAGCAGCAATTTTATGGTCAATTAGCTGACGCATATTATGATTATCATCAATTGCCAAAAAACTAGACGCAACAAATTTATGCTGGAGAATTCATGAAAAAACAAAGTAAATGGATTGCATATGAGAGAGCACGTTGCGAAGAATGATACGATACGTTCAGTTCTCAGTCTTAAAATATAGCGTGCGACATTTCTTTTCTACAGTTCAATTAAAATCTATCGCTATGTTTTATTTTTAATAAGCTTGCATTTCATGTTGTACAACAGGCAAAAACCATCTTGAAAGTGAGAGTCATATTTTTTCACAATCTACACCATAAAAAGCTATGTTGGAAATTTTCTTTATGGACCATTATAAATCAAATGCTGTTGGAAATTTTCGTTTTATTACATCGATAATCTATTCGACGAGTAGCAATTGCAGATTACTTTATTTTGTTATATGAAACTCATGTAATAAATCTGTTCAGATATTGCTTGGTATATAAAGATTAATACGATTGCTTTATTTGTTGATGCAACTCTATTCTTTTTTTGTTCTTATCAAATTCTCCACTATAAAATTCAATAGTGAATGATTTATTGTCTCTGATATAGAAGTCATTCTTTATTTGCTTTTTCTACATACAATCATGGCAGAAGATGAAAGAAATGACGAATTTCTGAAAATAAGTTTAAGCGATCTCAAATTTGAAAGAGTTTTAGGAAGTGGCAGCTTTGGAGATGTTTATGATGGAGAATGGATTAGCCGACGCCAGCAAGTTGCTATAAAAAAACTTCGTATCGATGCTAGTTTTGTCTCATTAAAGGAAAGAAAGGATTTTTTTAAAGAAATGACCATGATGCATCGTCTTCGATTTTCTCATATTTTGAATGTGTTTGGTGTTTGCTTAGATCGGAACTGTTTGGCTATTGTCGTTGAATATATGTCACTTGGATCTTTATATGATGTGATTCGTAATTATGAGTTACCTTGGTCCGATCGATGGTCAATTGTTAGTCAAATAACAAAAGGACTCAACCATCTTCATCAATTTCAACCGAATCCTATTATTCATCGTGATATCAAATCATTCAACTTTTTTATGACTTGGGGTACACAAAAAAGTGACCATCGTTTTATTGTCAAAGTCGGTGATTTTGGTTCATCTAGATTTCGCCCTATGTCCGGCTCACAACTGACGACTATTGAACGGGTGGGAACGATTCGATGGATGGCTCCCGAACTACTTCCTACTCACCCATCTTATACGATGACCAGTGATGTATATTCTGCAGGTGTATGCATTTGGGAAATGACGACGGATCGACTTCCATACAAAGAACTAACAACAGATCATTACTATTTGGAAGTAATTCTGAAAGGAAAAACACTCAGACAGACAAAACTCAGAAAGAAACGGAGAAATACCTGTAAAAATTTTAAATTTCAACGAAAATAAAATTCGAAAAAGCGCACATTTTTACGATTTTTATCTCCTTTAGCTTTGTCTACTGTGGTTAACGCGTTAAAACTCACGAAATAACGTGTAAAACCACGTTAAATTTCGCGCTTCAGCGAGTAATTACGGAGTAAATTCTAACGCAGTAGAACGCTTTCTGAAAAATTGCGTAGAAACGCGTTACGAATTCGTAAAAACGGCATTTCTCAGCTATAATCATCAGTGCAGTCAGAAAACTCCGAATGAAAGACCAACATGTCTTGAATTGTTGGAGTATATCGAAAACTGTCTGCAAAATATAGGTCTGTCTGATTCGAGGTAAGAAAATAATAGGATCAGTTTGATATTGATTTTTTTATATGAAGCATTAGAGAATCACAATTTCGTTCGCAAAAATCGCCTGGTTCTACGACTAGATCGACAATATCCAGGTATGTCTGAATAATCGATTCTTTCACTCACACCTAAATGCATAACGATGATTTTATTCTTGTTCTATTTTCTCAGTAACTATCGGTCAACCACGTCTATAACATCATCAACGAAATCATGTTCAAATAAGCAGCTCGAAGATACTATCAAATGCACTGAAAGATTTGCAGCAAGTACATTATCAGATCAAGAATTCTTGGACGAAGATATGGCCGTTATTAGTACTGCATTAACAAGAAATCAAGCTTGCAAAGATTTGGCTCTTCGAAATAGCGATATTACACCAATAGGCGTGACCTTTTTAAGTTTAGGATTAGCTGTCAACTGCACGTTGACATCGTTGGACTTAAGTGAAAATTCTCTAGAAGCTGTGGGTGTTGCGAATGTAGCTCGTACTCTTCATGACAATTCGACATTGACAACACTCCGCTTAAATTCAACAAAAATGGGCGATAAGGGTGTGAAAGAGATCGGCAACATGCTTCGTATCAATCGCTCACTTGACTTTCTAGCTATATGTGACAATCATCTGACCAGCACAGGCATTCGGGTGTTATGTGGTGCTCTGGAAAACAACACGTCTCTCCGACATATCGATATGAACAGAAACAAACTGGGTGATAAGGGGGCGATTTTTATCGGACAATTGTTACTTCGTAACAGTACACTCTCGAGAATCTTTATGAATGAAACGTAAATTACTGATGATGGATTGACATCGATATTTAATGCTCTCGGGGAGAATGATACTCTGCGACAACTGATTCTAGCCAACAATTTCATCACTGATCACAGTGTGCAAACAATTATTAGTATGATCCAAATAAATCGAACTTTGAGAATACTTGAAATATGGGGTAATGCATTATCTACAAAGGGTGAAAGAAAAATTCGCAAAATAATGGAACAATCTAGATGTGATATAGTGCTAACTGAGCAAGAGTGAATTGAGTGGTAACATTATCTTTCGATTTCTATTTTTGTTTTAGAATTCAAAAATAAATGCTTGTCGATAATCATTTACTATCTATAAATAATAACAAATGTGTATAGTTCCTATCGAGTTAAGAAAGACACAATTAGCATAATAACTTTCTGAACAACGTCTTGTCTATACGACAAGCATTTTTTTTAGTAAAGAATCATATTCAATAAAAAAATGAGATAAAAATGCAATTATGCATTCGAATACATTTCATTTATGGGTGTGGTGAATGTGGTATAGATATGATACCCATATGCACTCAACCACATCATCATGCACACCCACACCCACAATGAGTTATGAATAACTGGGAAAGAATTCGCACGAAGAACTTATTACCATCGAGTTGGTGAATATTTACCATAGTTTTTAGCACAATTCGCTAGTCTTGCTCAGCAATATTAGTAAAAGTAATGTTCGAATGTGGATTGGGCACTGCGAAAAGATCTAATGTGGGTAAAGAGACGACTGAATTATATCTATACCCTTCATTTTTGCATTTTTCTGTAATAATATTTCAAATCTTTTCTTGATTAAAATAAAATAACTACTCTGGAATAGAATATCATGCAATCGTTTATCACATATTCTCATATGACAAATACTTGTGCGTTTATAATTGATACTACATTGATTATTACTTTGAATGATTATCTGGTTGTTACCATAAAACTCGAGAAATTTAACTGCATTTTTTCAATCATAAAAGTAAAGTACAGATAAGAGCTGTTGAGTTTTGGATGAAGTAGAGTTATAAAATATTCTTTCTCTTATTCAAAATAAAACATTTGTCTTTTCATTTGTTGTCGATGCAAAAGATTTCTTTTAGATTGTTGTATTAAAGATGACTGAAATAACAAAGAGAAATGGATTACAATCTATTTCAACAAAAACATTTTATATTTTTGCTGGATTGCTTATTCTATTTTCAATTACAGCAATTGTTCTTGTCGCAATCATATTGGGTGTAGTTATCAGCCGTTTAAATTCGAGAAACACAAATTATGATAGACCACGCGTATTTGAGCACCAAATTAAAAGTAATGAACTTATGAAACATTTAGGACAATTACAAATAATAGCCGATCAAAATAATGGAAATCGAGCAATTGGAACTCGAGGATTCAATGCTACACTCGATTATATTACTAGTCAACTTGAACAAAACACAAATTTAGTTATTCACCATGAGTATTTTACAGTTCGAAATAGTATCGTCGAAGGTATCCCACAATTACAATCACAAATTAATGGCCTTGTCACGAATTATGTTTACCGGACAGATTTTACCCACTTTTCATTTTCATCGAGAGCCAATTTTGGTTCGTTTATTCGATTAGTTTCGATTCCGAATCTCGGTTGTCAAGAAAGCGATTGGATGAATGCAGTGGTAGCGGATTCTGTCGCGATAGTCAAACGTGGTAATTGCACATTTATAGAGAAGTCTCAACTAGCTGAAAGGTACCGCGTAAAAGGATTGTTCGTTTACAACGATGGAACAGCGCCAGATCGTTTTCAACCATTACAGGGTGTGACAGCTCATTCCAATTCAACAATTCCAGCCTATTTCCTGTCGTATAATTTGGGGATGCAATTTGTTAATGCAGCATCTGATCCAAGTACGAATGCAGGTGTTATTATGAATATCGATGTAAAAGATGCAGAGGGAATCGGGAATATTTGTGCTGATACGCCAACAGGAGATAAAACAAAGACAATTATTATTGGTTCTCATAGTGACGGAGTACCAGATGGAAGTGGAATCAATGATAATGGTAGTGGTACAGTCGCCAATTTGGTTTTGGCTCTTAATTTAGCTCGTCTACTTCAGACAGCTTCATTGAACTATGCTCAGTATCAATATCGCGTTCGATTTTGTTGGTGGGGTGCAGAAGAACTCGGTCTACTCGGTTCTATTTATCATGTTGAGCAAGCGTCTTTGGCTAGTGCCACCATTGAAAGCGGACGTTTGGAAGATTATCTATTATATTTCAATTATGATATGTTAGCTTCTCCTAATCCTAATTTTGGTATTTCTGACAGTGTACAAGTTCCATCAGGAACACCCGACCACGCAGTCTACGCTACTGATCGAATCACAGATCTATTTCAACAATGGTTTAAAGAACAGAAACTGCCGTGGACTGAATCCGGAGTTGGAGGAGGTAGTGATTTCGTACCATTTTTGACGAGTGGTATAGCTGTTGGCGGTGTAAATACAGGGGCTGGTGGGATCAAATCACCAGATGAACGAGATCAATATGCAGCATTGATGGGAACGGGAAATGCGGGAATAGCCAATGCGCCTTATGATTCATGTTATCATCAACAATGTGATAGAATTACAAATGTTAATCCATCTGCATATGAGAAAGTCGTTAAAGCAGCCGCTTATGCTATTGAACATGTGGGACGGTTAGATGGCTTGGAAAAGTGGCTATATCCACAAGGTCGAGCGAAAACTCCTAAGCTGCTCGATAGAAAACAACTATATAATATGCATAATGATACTAATCTTTTTTGAATTTGATTGAAATAAAAAGAATTAATAAAAACGAGTCTTTAAAATTGCATACGAGGATCCCTATATTTGAGAAGAAATGCACAATATATGTTGTTATATTTTATTCGATCTGGTTTACAAGAAATAAAAGTAAAAATTAACGATGCTTTTTTTTTAATTCGTTGCATTTTCTGCATGTGCCTTTCGTTCCAGCTTCACAACGGACAGAATCATGTGGGGCTTTTGATTCATCTGTTTCGTCGGGTTTATCACGATCCTCATTGGTGTCTTCATTTTTGACTCCATAAAAAATATCCAGGATCCAGATGCACATCCAATCTAAAGCAATTTCTAGTTCCTCTTCGTCAATGCTAGATACCTGACATTTTCTATTGCATCTTTGACAGCCTTGTTTTTCGACACGAATTTGAACAATACTTGTCTCTCGATGAGCCCTCCAAATCATCGTTGTATGAGATGATTTCCACGATTTCTTACAATTATGACATGTATATCTGTATTTGACGAAAAAAACTAATAATGTCTAGAACAAAATCGATACTAACCTCGCTTTCGTATTATGTGTGCGAAATGGCCAATTTTTTCCATTTCGAATTAAAGCTTCTTTCTGTGTATTGACATTGCTAGGCATTGGTTCAATACCCCAGTTATGAATGTAATAATAATATAAAGCTTCATAAAACATTGATTCAATGGGAATAAACCATTTGTACTGCGTCATTATTACACTCGCTGAGTTTCTAACTAAAAAGAAAAACACAAATAACGCGTAAATATTCTTTCTGATGAAAGTAGACACTGTCCTTATCGTTTTATCATGCAAAGATACGAATAATGCATTACTACCTATATGTGAATATTAGTCAGGTGAATATACATTTGATGTATATTCGGAGAATTGGTTTGTTGCTCTCAGTAGTTACGAAGCTTTCAGTGTGTGGTTGTGAGTGAATATCTATTTTGAATTTCTAAATGTCATACATTTTCGATGACCATGTTTCACGATAGCAGAACTTTTAATTCAGAAATGTAAGATGAATTAAATTTTAGGGTGCATTGTAAAGGATGAAAATTCGACGTGTGCTGTCAGAGTGTGGGTGTGTCTGTTGTTGTATTCTGCTCATATCCACACCCACACTTCTCATAAATATCAAAAAGAACTACACATTCTCTGCAAGCAGAAATATTTCTTTTATCTTTCAATTAGAAATTATTGTTTAATATCGAAAAGAAGTTGTTTTCGATGACTATGCCAAATACACCTTTGAGTTCTTAAAAGAATAAAATGTCGATAATATATCAATGCATTCGTTCTGATATTTTTTTACTCAAATTTCTTTTGCTACGTGAAAAAACAACCGTAAAATAGTATATCACCTGTTCGTTCAACGGTTGCTCTTCTTTTAAAGAATTTGTTAAGACTTTTTCTTCAAATTCTTCATGTTGAAAACAGTTTATAAGACAACTTTATATGAATCTCGCATTGAAGATAAACGGTTGAATTGATATTTTCAAATCTTAAGTTTAATCATATATTATTATCTTTTAAAATAAATTTATGCTACTATTTTTATTGAGTTATTGTATTGATAATAGTCTTGTAATTATTAGTCTATGTTTGGTTTAAATGCATAAATTATTGCAAAAAAGGTATTCATACATTCAAAAAGAATGGATAACAAGTTTAATTCTTAGAATTGAAAGGTAAGATGATGAACGAATGAAAGATATTATTCATATATGATCGAATACGACACCTATGAACAATATTGATATTTCTATGTCAACTTCTTGTTCGTTATAAATCTTAGCTATTCAAAGACCTTATCATAATATGTTTCTATTAATATTTTTATAAAAATACTTTTTAAATGATATACTGTAGCAATTCTATAAGTAAAATCTACTCAAATCAATCAATGATAAAAGAATTAATAGAGTTTATTCATAGAATACCTGAGTATGATCATGCATTTTTTCTACTGTCAGTACAAAGTTCATGTTTTACTGTGTTCTTAACTTAACGACTTGTCAGAGTCATGCATCTAACAAAGTGTCTGGTAATGATTTATTTTTATCAAAAAAAAAAAATATGCAAGACATCATGACGATGCATATTTGTGAAGGCATATAAATAAAAAGAAAAAAGTTTCGTTTAGTATATTTTATTAATTTTTAAACAACATTTTAGATTTTTATTAACAATGCCAAGTTACCCAAAACATCTTAGTTCCGGTATATATATATAAACTCCTAATCATTCATTTTACTTAGTTTTAAATAGGTTCGGAATGTCCACCATTAAAAGAAAATCAATTACGATTATATAGTATGCAATTTTGTCCATATGCACAACGCGCTAGACTTGTCTTAGCCGCTAAAAATATTCCGTAAGTTTCTTTTCTATTTAATCAGTCGTAATATCTATGAAATTATTCTAGATATGAAGAAATAAATATCAATCTTGTTGATAAACCAGAATGGTATTTAAAAAAGAATGCACCTGGACAAGTTCCAGGTTTAGAATGGATTGATCATGATTCAAAAGAAACGAAATTTATACCTGAATCACTTATTGTCAGTGATTATGTTGATGAAACAAATTCACAAAATCGTCTTCAACCAACTGATCCATATCTAAAAGCTAAACATCGTGTTTTAATTGACAGATACAGCGGTGTAAGTAAAAACAAATTATACTTTTATTTCAATATAGATCTTCTTTTTTTTTTTAGATTACAACTGCATTTTATAAAATTATGCGAGAAGATCCTAAGCAAGGTGTTGAAGATTTAAATGAAAACTTAAAAATATATGAAGAAGCACTTACAAATACATTTTTTGGTGGATCAAAACCAGCCATGATCGATTATATGTTATGGCCATGGTTTGAACGTTTTCAATTTTTGGGTGAAGCAGGTTTTGAATTTAATTCTGATGGAAAATTATCTAAACTGGCCGCATGGGTTAATGCAATGGAAGCAAATGAAGCTGTTCAAAAAATCAAAGTTCCTGCCGCATTACTAAAGAAATTTTTGGAAGGTTATAAACAAGGAAAACCACAATTTGATTTTCAATAGAACTCTATCAATCTTTCTCAAATAAACACATAGACTTTTAAATAAATCTTTAATTTATTCAATAGACATAAGAAGAAGATTGTAATTCATTACTATCTATAGTGTCTTGCATAAATATTTATCATTTGAGTAAAAAGTGGATTATTTTATTTGAAATTTTTAATCCTGTATATATAAATATTTGAGCATATGATACAAATCTTTGGAAAGTGTTAAATTTATTGTAGTATACAGAATCATATCATGAAGATGTAAGAGCTTTTAAAATCAAACAATTACTTAAGTCGGCTTTGAATCAAAATGAAGTAAAACAAAGTTGGAAGTGTATAAAATAAAAGAAAAAAGTTTGTCTATTTGGTTATTATTCATCACAAACTTAATAAATGAAAATATTTTTAATAACGTTAGGAAAATTAAAATCACAGTTTTCCTCTAGATTCATCAATCATAAAAGATTAGAATATGCACGTAGGTATTTAACATATAGAAGAAAAAAGTACAAGAATGATTTAGATATAATCATAAATCATATTTAGAACTTTTATGTCGTTCAAGAGGGTGGGTGTTGATATGCTTTTCATGTATATCAGATATTCAGATCTACGCCCACACACCTTACTTAAATCCTCAAACTTTATTTTTTCTTTTATTTCTCGATTATTTATTCGATAAATTTCTTTTTACTTTCTTTCAAAATTAACATTTCATTCACGAAGTTACTTCAAATTTTTGAATCCGATGATTTCTTCCATCAACAACATAAAGATTTCCTTCATCATCAAAAGATAAATCACCGGGACTATCCAATTGATTTGATTGATCTCCTTTACCATTTCCACCAACAACAGTTTCACCTTCTTCTTTTCCTTCACACCAACGCATTACTCGATGATTATAAAAATCTGCCACATATATTTGACCCAAATCATCAATAATTACCCCTTGAGATTCACCCAATTGATTAAGCCTTCCTCCAGCCACAATTGTTCCTTCTTCTGCATGATTTTTCCATTTCATCACACGATAATTGTGCATATCAGATACATAAACAGATTGATCTTCATCAACAAAGATAAAAATAGGAGAACTGAGTTGATTGAGTCGATTTCCTCTATCATTTCCACCTGCTACTACAACTCCTTCGTTGTTATATTTTCCCATTTTCCATCGTCTTACTTCATTCTTCACCGTATCAGAAACATAAAGAAATCCATGTTTATCCATTGCCAAACCAAAACAGCCAATATTGTCAATGAGAATTTGTTGCTTTTGATTCAACCATTGAATCACTCGTCTGTTACCCCAATCAGCAATGATAATCAAATGAGTTTGTTGATCAACAATTACATCTGTTGGTCGATCTAATTGATCCATTCGATTTCCTTGTTCATTTCCACCTGCAATGATTAGTCCTTCTTTTGCATTATATTTCCATTCAACAATACGATGATTGTTAAAATCAGCAATGAAAATATTTTTTTTTTGATCAATAAAGACCCCACCAGGGTCATAGAGTTGATTTAATTCTTGTCCTTGTCCATTTCCACCAGCCACAGTGATGGCATTTTGTTTCCATTTGTCAAATTTCGGTTCTAGAAAAGAATGCAAACAAAAAATTTTGATGGAAAGAAGAAAATTATTGTTTATCGACGAAAAAAAAAGAAAAGATTATTTTTCAATGAAACTTTGAGTTAGTTTTTTGTTGAAGTTGAATTGTAAATGAAACCAGTGACAGAGTCGGGGGAAGGAGGGCACTCAACCACCCCCTCTCAAAGCAAGATTTTGAAAAATATGTTTTTCTGATATAAAATCTTATTACTCTTTATAGTGGAATACTGTATGAAATATACCTTATTGTGTAGAATTCATATGTAATTTTTAAACAAATAAAAACACATTTAATATGAACTTCATCTAGATTCTAAAGATCTCTCAGTTTCATATTTCACTCATTTGATAACGTAAGGTGCAAACAATACAAAATTAAAGCGAAAGTTTTTTTCGCTTTTGCACACATGGTTGGATAGAGCTCGTCGAGCTGAGTAAGAATAGGTCAGTTTTGTAGTTTTTCCAAAGGTTTTTGTTGACAAATTTCGATTTTTTTGCGAAGTGCTACAAGACTCATTTTCTTGAAAAAAATATTAGAAAAAACTCATCTTTTAATGTTTTTTTTCAATTTTGAATCCCTTTATTTTATAAGCATATTTTCAGTAAGGAATATCAAAAAAGGGTCAGATCGATGCAGTTTTTCACGATAAATCTAAATATGTTATTATCATAGTCCGAAGAAGTGTAAAAGCTCTCTAAAATTGGAAAAAAACATTAAAAGATGAGCTTTTTTTAATATTTGTTTTCAAGAAAATGAGTCTTTCAGTACTTTGGAAAAAATATAAAAACTAACCAATTCTTACCCAACTCGACGAGCTCTATCCAACCAAGTATGAAAATATGAAAAAGAAAATTTACACTGGTTGCGTAAAAAAATTATACTTCCTAAGATGGACTAAAACGGTTCCGGCGGCTGAACCGGCCCCCTTTCCTAGCTCAAAACCCTGGCTTCGCCACTGGAATGAATGTGCCTGTGCATGAGTGAATATAATGCTCATATTATTTTCATGAAAAAATCGATGTTTATGAAAGATGTGTTTCTCGAGTATTAAGTTAGTATTTTATCCAACTACGATTTCTTTTGAATACGTCAATTCTATCTAAATGCTACTTGAAACATGAGATTAGGTGTTCATATCAACTGATACTTCTACGTGTATAATCATACCGATAAACTAGATTAAAACTGACCATATCAAGAATAAATATAGATTAAAATCTACTGTGTCCGTTATGAAAGAGAATTTTTCTTGGATTTACTTCTGCTCTCAAATAAACAACTATGATCAGCCAGAAATGTTTAATATGCGAATTTGCCTAAATTTTAATGTGACTAATTGATAGAGATGGTACTTGTAATAGATTCGTACTGACAGTATCCTACGAGAAATGGTAATAACTACAAATAGTACTGGACATAAGTCTTCAAAAATGACTCAATCAATATTACATTTCTTACATGATCTGGTTGATGCATGATAGTACTCATAACATTGGGATCAGATAGAAGGCAAATCTCTTTTCATTTGGATGGATATTTTCAATTATCTTCTATGTTATATTTACAAGCAATGACGTTATCTGACTTTATTTAGTCATAGTATCTATCATTATTAACTTTTTCCAATGTAATGAGGAGTTTCTAAAGTGATCATTGAATTCTACCATGTGAGAATCTTTTTATCGACAACATATTAGCATGATACCGTCGAAATCAATTGACATATCTAATATTTGACTATTTGTAAATGAAATTAAGTCATTAAAATTTGATCCTGTTTCTAGCCCTCATACAAAGTTCTCTGATGTTCTAGATCTAGATGAGGAACACTAGACAGATAAAATCAAAATTTTTAGATTTGGTCATTTGTGATACTCATAGTTTAGGCTATACAAATCATCCAGCATATTACTAACTTGATGGTGTTGTTGATGTTGTTGTTGAAGTTGATGTAGTAGGTGATTCCAGATTACAAAAATGAATTTAGAAAGAGACTAAATGATTGGATAAGGCTTTATTCCTAATTTCTTTCGTCCTCCTCTTCTTCTTCTCCTCTAACAATCTATCGAGTGTAACTATTAGTGCAGTATAATAACATCGAAAACCTTTAGGTGCCCTACGTTATAATTGCAATTCTATAATCTTTACTTTAAGCACATCTCTACTATAATAATTTTGACAACTCATTTTACATTTTTTATAAGTTTAATAATGAAACATTGGCAGAATTGTAGAAATTAACTCATATAACATTTGTATACTCCTACTATTCTTGAAATATTTCATTTTTATTCAAGACAACATTCCGGCTAGAAAATTAGGGTATGGTTGTAGATGTGGAATTACATTACACTACTTGCACCCACACCTACACCCTGTATTGATTCTTTAGTTTGAATAGGGCCATTTCAAATCCCACAGATATCTCGTTTACCTGGATATTTTCAAAGTGGAATTCGAAAGATAACTCTCGAAACAAACAGTTCAACTCAAAAAGGTTTGCTTTCGGGTGATGGGTTTAGTTACATGTTTTGTTCTTCAATTTAATTTATTAGGAAACTCGATATCTCTCAGAAATAATTGAAATTACTAAATAAGGCCTATGATGAGAAAACTTTCCAGATTTTCATTCCAGCAAGATAATAAACAATAATAACTACACAAACTAATTGTATTTTTTGTTCACATGGAATGTTCTGTAGACTATATAAACTCTGATAGTCTGTGTGAGGATGTGATGGAGTGAAAACAAATCTATCAATCACAAACAAATATCGAAAATTCCGCTCATGTTGTGTTTATTCGTGTAGGAAGGAGTCATACAAGCGAGCTGGAAATCTCAGCTAATACTAACGTTACTACTATCTATGACATACAAAAAATATTAAACGAAATCTGAGATGTCGAATCATCATTGATATTTGATTTTCTTAGAGACTTATTCTTAATAAATATTCTTCCACATGCTAAAAATTCCATTATGAATGTTAGAACAATTTTTGATATTGTTGCTTAGAAGTATCATGTATAAGTTGTTATGATTGGGGATGTACCGAGCCCTGATCCTGATCCACCCCGAGCCTGACCGAGCCCTGATCCTGATCCACTCCGAGCCTGACTGAGCCCTGATCCTGATCCACCCCGAGCTTGACCGAGCCCTGATCACGATCCAGCCCCGAGCTCCGAGCCTGACCAAGCCCGAGCCTCTCGGGCTCGGTACATTTCTAGTTATGATAAACAATGAAGTTCTACTTCGGTCATTTGGAACAATTTATCGTATATTAACTTCAAAATAAATAATTATCTCATTTTAACTACCTATTGTTATTTCTATTTTTTCTGTTATTTCAATTGCTGTTTCTTCTGTTGTTTCAATTGTTGTTTCTTCTGTTATTGACATTTCTTCACTGTTTGTTTTTTTTGTTTTGCAGATAACAATTGAAATTGTTATAATTATAGCAAGCACAATAATAATAAATGTGATGCACATCACTTTTCTGCTTTTCACATATTCACATCTAGAATAATAAATCTTTTTTATTATTGTCTACAATTCATAAGATACATACAATTTTTTTGGTCGAGCTACATTCGAAGTAACCGTTTCAGACTATAATAATCAAAAAAACAACAAATCTTATATTTTATAATTTTTTTTTTTCTCAATAAATTACATCATTATCAACTCCTATTCTGTTGTTGTTGATCATTGTTGATATCTTATTGATAGTTTAATGCTTTTACAATCTAAAATTGACAAAAAAAAACATTTTTATTTATAGATTTTCATTCATTAATAATATAATTACAAAGAAGCTAAACTGTTTATCTGAATATTTTTCCACAAAAAAATCATTTGTGTTTCTCGTTAATTGTTTGAATCTATATTTCAAGTAATATCTAATAATCCTTACCGACTAATCTTAGAAGTTTTTCATTCCAATTTCAACTAGAAAATAGAAAAAAGAATTATCATGCTCTCTCTTTCTCTTTCTTAAATAATCAGTTCTCTTGTGACGTAGATCATCGCGTCAATGTAAAACATCATATATCAATAAAAACAATCAGCTCACTTCCTTTTTCAATTATAATTTTAAAAATAAAACTCTTGTCAGATAGTTCTTATCTCTTGTAAATATGAAATTGTTTGAGACAACATTTAGTGTAATTATTAGTTAACAAAAAACATTGAAAATCAGCGCTGTTCAAAGGATATGCAACATTTCCTAAAAAAGAAAAAAAAGTGACGTTAAAATGTTCTACTATACATATACATAACGATTCTTCTAAATAAATTGAGAATTAGACAATATTTATGATTAGAAATAGGTTTTAATTTGATTTTATCGTATGCAATAATTATTTCCAGAATGAATAAATGATTTAATTGAAAGTCGAAATAGAATATTCAAGAAAACAAAAATAATTAATACTTCATCCTCGCTTAGTTATCGTCTATTAGATATGACTTGTGAATAGAGAGAACTATAAGTATGATTTTAATTACAATCATAGCCATGTAAAATATGGAGATTCTTTGAATAATTACATTTAGATGTGACTATCACAGTGATTGTGGATATTATATTTGTCTTTCAATACTCTCCACACTGTGAAAAGTTATTTGTGTTCTTTTAATCATTTTTCTACTGGAAAAACAAAATATGACATAGATTTCGCAATTTGTGATTGAAAATGTATGTAGAGAAAGTGAACACAAAGGAAACAGCAGTTATATCAATCGTCAAGTCTTGTACAATACCATGAAATCCGTTCTTTTTTTTTTATTGAAATGAATATGAGAATGATAATTTGACAGATGAGTGTATTACTCTTATTCTGATGTTAATTCATCCTCACTCTCATCAATATATTTTATACTCATCTGAATCTATTACTGAATTATTTTATCGACAATAATTTGATAAATAAAAATATAGTCATAGCTTAACTCTATAGACTTTCAACTGAATGAAAAATAATAAAATACATTCTTTTCTCTCCGGAAACTTTGCATTTCCTTCACATAGTGCTGATTTTGAATTTTGTTTTTCTATAGAAATTAACTCTTGTTTCAACTAGTTTAATTTCACATGCTACCTCGTAGATTTCGTCATTTACAATTAATAACATTTTATTCAAAAGTAATCTTGTTGTTTTCATTGACAGATGATGTTTTTTTTACAAATATTTCATATAAAAACGATTATATACAGTAAGTATCAGAAGCATTCACTCATTATTATTATTTTTATTTTAAATCAAATAAATACATAAAAATAAAGTAAAAGATATCATTTGAGAATCCATTTTTGATACTTAATAATTTAAGTAATGTCGAACATAGTAGATGATTCTATTAAATATAATTACAAAGCTATGAAATAAATAAAAACGAGAAGAATTTCATTTAATTTCTAATGATTAATATTGAATAAAAACAATTTACTTCTTTCTAGTTATATCCTCCAATAATTAACTTGAATTACAAAAAAACTCTTTAATATATTATTAAAAATGAACATGAAGTTTTTTTTCTCTATTCGCCTACATAATGATGTTAATGAGAATAACTTGCTTTTTTTTGAAATATTTGCAACAAATACAACATGTGAAATTATTAATAGATAAAAACAATGAATCTATTTTCTTTGTCAAAACTAATATGAAATGCCAGACATTATTTGCTGTAAAGAGAAAAAATGTTCATGATATTGAAATGTTTGTAGGAAGGATGTGAAAACAAAGTGTTTCAAACAAAATTTAATGTTATCCTTGTTAAGAATACATCACAAATCATGCCTTAACAAAGCAAATACAACGCTTCCTCAACAATAAAATATTTTTATTATTTTGCATTTAGTTGAAAGATATTATATGCTGTCAGAAATATATTCTATAATTGATTTTATTCTTATTTCACACATTAGATAAATGATAAGAAAAGTGTAGTTGTTGATCTTCAGAATAATTCTTCATCAAATATTATTCAATGATATGAATATCATCAAATCTATGAGAAACGAATACATAAATAAAAGAATTAGTAATGTCATATTCACATTTAACAAAATCAACTAAACTTATCATTTTATTATCCTTTGAAATTATTCATCATGATGAATAATTATGATCACATTAACATTGTTATAAGTAAAAGTGGTGTATCACTTATTCCTTTTGTTCTATATTGACATGCAGAAGAGAACGAAGAAGAAAACATCATACTGAGACTAACATTGCAAAATGTTGAACACTTTCTCAAAAACGACGGCATTTTCTATCGTTCGGTAATAATTCAATCGATAAAATTAAAATATTTTATTATGATGAAGAATTAAACTATCGTAGAAGAGTTGATTTGTTTTATGAAATAATAATCCAAGAAAATTCTGTAAAATCTAAAAGTAAATTGAATATTATACAAACTTATTCTTTCTCTTAATTATTCGAAGGTGTGAATGTGAGAGTTCTTATTAGATCAACAAGGGACACTCAAATCCACACCCATACCCTCAAGTTTTCATAGAAACTTTCTATTCAAAACCAAGAATAAAGAAAATGTTGAATTTTTTCATTTGAAATTGAAATGAATTCAATTTGTTTTTGAAAAATAAAATAAATCTCATTTATATCAAAAGTCAAATGTGAATTTTGGATCCATGCATAACTTTTAGTATCAACGTTTTATTTTATTTCAATTTCTTGTTCATTTTTCTTCCGTAATTTCTGTTTTTGCTTTCATCTAAATAAAAATGTTCATTGATTTCATTTTATCAAATAAATTTTCAATTCAATTTTTGTTAACATATTTTTTAAAATCGGATCACCAAAATTGGAAAACGGCAAAATTTGTTAATTTATTAAACAAAAATCTTTTCAGCATTTGTCTTAGTCAGTAAAATACATTGCTATCCTATTTTTATTATCAAATTTTTCTAAAACATTTCTTTTCTCTTCGATTTTAGACAATTTGATTATTTTCATCAAATAAAAATGTACAAATAGAATTTTCTAAAATACAAAAACTTCTTTCCAAAGAATCTTCAACTCAATTCAAATTAGGAAACATTTTCTTTTCTTTTCTTCTGTAAAATTTAACAAAAAATAACAGAAGATAAACAATTTAACATTAATTTAGTCGAGTTTTTTAATCAAAATTTATTCGATTCCTTTCATTGATTTTCAATAATATAACTTTATTTTTCCTTTTATTTTCTGGTTATTTATTCTATAAAAAATTGGAAACTTAGAATCAAAGTTTCCTTCACTAAATTATTTCAAATTTTGCAATTAGATGATTATAATAATCAGCAACATAAAGATTTCCTTCATCATCAATAGATAAACCTATCGGATAATTCAGTTGGTTTGATTGACTTCCTTTACCATTTCCACCAACAATAATTTCACCTTCTTCTTTTCCTTCACACCAACGCATTACTCGATGATTCCAACAATCTACCACATATATATCACCCAAATAATCAACAATGATTCCTTTAGGTGAAGACAATTGATTGAGATTTTCTCCAAAACCATTTCCTCCAGCCACAATTGTTCCTTCTTTTGCCTCTTTTTTCCATTTCATCACACGATGATTCCCAGTATCTGATACATAAACAGATTGATCTTCATCAACAAACATAAAGCCTGGACTATTGAGTTGATTAAGTTGATTTCCTTCTCCATTTCTGCCTGCCACTACGATCCCTTCATTGTCATATTCTCCCATTTTCCATCGTTTTACTTCATGTTTCTTATAATCAGAAACATATAAAAATCTATGTTTATCCATTGTTAAGCGAGCACAGTCAATTTCCGTAATGAGAATTTGTTGCTTTTGATTGAACCATTGAATCACTCGTCTATTTCCATAATCAGCAATGATGATTGAATAATTTAGTGGATCAACAATTACATCTGCTGGATGATTCAATTGATTCACTAGAATTCCTTCCCCGTTTCCACCAGCAACGATTTGTCCCACCGTTGCATTATATTTCCATTGAACAATACGATGATTATAGAAATCAGCGATGAAAATATTTTTGTTTTTATCAATAAAGATTCCAGCAGGGAAATTAAGCTGATTTAGTTTTTGTCCTAGTCCAATTCCACCAGCCACAGTGACGGCATTTTGTCTCCATTTATTCAATTTTGGTTCTAGAAAATGGTGAAAACAGATTTTTATCAATCAAAGGTTTGTTGAAAACTTACTTTCTGATGAAACAATTAAAATATCATTAATAAATGATTATGACTCTTCCTGAACAGAAATATTTGATGAACTATTTAATTTTTGTTTAATTTCTATTAATTGATCTTTCAAATAATTTAAATTAATTTCATTAAATTCATTTTCTTTTTGAATTTGTTTTATTTGTTCCGTTAAATCAATAAGTTTCATTTCAATATTAATTAAGAATATTTCTGAAGATTCATTAACAATTTTTCTACAATCTTCTGCTTTTTGTTGAACCTTTTCAATTGAATTTTTTTCCCATTCATTAATTTGTTTTATTAATATCTGATTTTGTAGATATTGTCGATTTTGTTTTGGTTTATTCAATCTGTCTTTAAATTCATCACAATCATTAATAAGACATTTTAATTCTTCATTTAATTTTTCTTGATGTTCTGTTAAATGAATTAAACAAAACTTTTTTGAACATCCATCACAAAGATATGTTATTTTTTCTTTATTGCATGTAAAACATAATGTTTTGTTATTTGCCATTGCCATATCGTTGAATATAAATTTATAGAAGAAATCTAAAACGAATTTTCTTGTGATGAAATCCCACTGGTAAAACGTATGTGAGAGATGAATTCGAAAACTCCGGTTTGTCCTTCTATTTATTATCGTGCAAATAAAAAATGAAACAATAATACTCTTTTCTTCAATGCCTATGAAAATATACCATGTGATCATCGTCGAAGAAAACGTTGGATAAATATTCATTAAACACAAAGGAAAGAAAAACAAATCAATATAAATATGATATTTTTCCTCTTGAAAATAACCTTCGCAAGCCGTTTGTTTTATTTAGTCATCGTCTATGTATTGTCGAGTGGCTTTATCTGTTTTTTTCCTATCCTTGATAAAATTTCGATGAAGAAAGAAAAAATTGTTAATATAAGTATATAGTCGATTGTTTAGAATTTATGACGATCTTTTTAGAATACAAAGCATTATCAGTGAGATAAGAAGTATAAGAAAAATAGAAGAATAAAATCACAGTAACAAGGTTATTTTTTTATATGGATGAATAATTTCTTTTTTTCTATCAATACTAGCATCGCTCGTTTATGCATATTCTTCATAGTTTTTTATTTTTGTATTGTAATCTTAGATTCTTTTTGAAGACAGTTTGATGTTAAAACATTCGATTGCAAAATAATTATATGAGAGAAAGAAATCGACGAATTTCAAACAGATATAAACCAATCTCCACCCATCAGATGATAAAATCGTTTTTTCGCTAGAATTTTTTTTTGATTCATCTTACACATGTGAATCAGTTGTAGTTCGCTGAGAGCTACGGAATAGTTTATTTAGATTTTTCATTACATTTAATCGATTCTAATGACAGTAAAAGTTAGAGCTACTTCTGAAGTATAGCTCATTTTATACATATCGATAAACTCTATCAAACGGCATATATTCAATTGAATGAAACTAAATTTGTGTTACGAAGATCCTTCGAAGCCTCATGAAGAGAGTTTTCAGTCTGTATATCTTATGGATTATTTGATTGTTTGATTAGAATTAGTCCGCATAATGGAATTCTGTGATTTGTCTCAAATTGGATATGTACAGTTTTTACGATAGTTGAGGGTGTGTGTGGATGGGTTTGGATCATCTCTTCCCCTCATCCACAATTACACCGTATATCTCACGTCCAGCTGCATCCACATTCACCCCATCCACACCCACACCCACACCCACACCCACAAGATGATCACTAATTAATAATTGAAGAAGGAACGAACGTAGTTAATTAATTCTGCGCATTTTCTGTTCGATTATTTTCATTGATTTTCAACAATGAAACTTGACTTTTTCTTTTATTTTTCTTTTTCTTTTTTGATTTTTTATTTAACAAAAAATTTCTTTTCTTTTTTTCAAAGTCAAAACTTCATTTACCAAGTTATTTCAAATTTTTCAATTCGACAATTCGCACAATCAACAACATAAAGATTTCCTTCTTCATCAAAAGATAAACCACGGGGACGATTCAATTGATTTGATTGATTTCCTTTTCCATTCCCACCAACAACAACTTCACCTTCTCCTTTTCCTTCACACCAACGCATTACTCGATGATTCGCAAAATCTCCCACATAAATTTGACCAAAATCATCAACAATGACTCCATTAGGTGAAGATAATTGGTTGAAATTTCCTCCTCTTCCATTTCCTCCAGCCACAATTCTTCCTTCTTTTGCATCTTTTTTCCATTTCATCACACGATGATTGTTTCGATCTGATACATAAACAGACTGATCTTCATCAACAAAGATAAAAGTAGGCTTGTTGAGTTGGTTGAGTTTATTTCCTACTCCATAGCCACCAGCCACTACAATTCCTTCATCGTATTCTCCCATTTTCCATCGTGTCACTTCGTTCTTCTTGTAATCAGAAACATAAAGAAATCCATGTTTATCCATTGCCAAGCCAAAACAGTCAATATCTTTAATGAGAATTTGTTGCTTTTGATTCATCCATTGAATCACTCGTTTGTTCACTAGATCAGCAATAATGATCGAATGCTTTTGTTGATCAAGAATCAAATCTGTTGGACAATTCAATTGATCCATACGATTTCCTTTGCCACTTGCGCCTGCAATGATTTTTCCTTCTTTTGCATTGTGTTTCCATTCAACGATACGATGATTTTCATAATCAGCAATGAGAATATTTTCCTTTTTATCAATAAAGATTCCTGTAGGGAATCTGAGTTGATTTAATTGTTGTCCTTCTTTATTTCCACCAGCCACAGTGATGGCATTTTGTTTCCATTTATTAAATTTTGATTCTAGAAAATGATGAAGATAAAACATGCCAAAAACACTAATACTTAAGTTATTATTGAAAAACTTATTATTCAAACCGAGTTAAAACTACTAGACTATTCTTTATACTGAGTTTAGTGCTATTAATTATAACTCAAAAAGGTCTTCAATTCGCTTTAAATTACTATCATATTATTGAAATATAGACAAAGAGGTATGAAAATCAATGTCACTGTTCGAACGTATCGAAAACAATTCTCACAGACGATGTAATAATTAAAACTAGAGCAGATGATAGTCCATAGTTTAGAACTTCTCTTATGTTAAAGTTAAAATAGGGTTAAGATTTTTTATATAAATCTTATTTCAATATACTAGATTTTCTATTGATGAACTTACCAACAGGATTCTTTGGTTTACTAATGCTAGAAGAGGAAGTAGATGAAATTTGTTTTTTCAGTTCATTTGCTTTTCGGCGCCATTCTATACTCTTGTCCAAATGACCGGCATGTGCTTCAAGTTTACTCAGATCTTGATATAAATTAATATGTAAAGGGTCGTGGAGTGGAAGTTGTTCTAACAAACGCATAAAGTATTTTCTAGCTAGGTCAATCTGGCTCATTCCCCATAACATTTTTGCTAATGCTTGAAGATTTATTTCTTCGCTCATAAATTCCTCTTTCATATCTATCAGAACTTGTTCCAAGTCATGTTCTTCATTATTGCACAATGTCATATCAATGATCCATACTTGACCATTTTCGCTGTACTTGACACTATTCAATCGAAAAATGGAACCTAACATAAACAGAACTTCAGCTTCATCTTTAAATTCACTAAAACCAGTGATATCAGCAAATGGTTTTATAGTTGCCATCCTAGGATCAGCATCGATTTGAAATAATACTGCTTCTAAATTTTCTGTATCATCGGAATACTTGAGAAACGATAGAGCTTTCTGTTTATCAAAACTGGTAGAAAAAAATGAATTCATAGAAATAAATTTATCACAATTTTGTTTCAAAGTTTCCAGTTCATTATTTGATATCATTTGACTTCGATAAAGTTGAAGACGTTCCTTAGCTTGATGTTTTTTTAATTGATATTGAATATCAGCGATATATTTACGAAATAAAAATATTGTATGAATATCTGCTGGAGTACGAAGAGCAGCATTAAGAGTCTTGTAAAAGAACGATTCTCGTGTATACCACCATAAAACTTTGTTAGATAAATGTTCTTTTTGAAATTCACGAATATTACCGAGTTCATCATTATTACCTTTATATTGTTTTTTGCAAAGATCAATAAGTTCTTTTTTATCATCTTCAGTATATTGTAGTTGAATAAGGAAATCAATGAGAACTTGTGAAAAAACAAATTCGCCATTTAAATCTATTGTTGAATTACCGCCTTTATTAAAAATATTAATTGATAATGGTTCTTCAACCATCTTTTGAATCTTATGATCAGCTTTAATTCGAGAAACAAGTTCATCAAGATCAGTCACAACAGCTTTTATCTATCAATAAAAAATAAATAGTACAATAGAAATCTAAGAGATTCAGTTTAATTTTACTTTTTTATAGTTGCGAGCCCATTTTTCGTTATCTTCCTTATCCATACAATATACATAAATCGATATAACTTGTCTAACACGATGAATGGAAGGAACTATTTCTCTTCCTAATCTTCCACTAACTATCATAACTACCCGTTCTTTTGTTGATCGTTCATAAATATAATTTTGACATTGAGTTATATCTTGAAATTTCTTGAAATGATTAATGATAGAACGTAATTTTGGTTCAGTGTCGCGACCTTCCTTAGTACTTGAACTGGCATCGAGCCAGAGTAGACAGAAAATTTCAAGATACATTTCGTCAGATTCACTGTGAGAGACATCGGTTGATGAACCAGCACTAGCCATACTAATCAAGAAGATAGAATAATTTCGATTGTTAAAGTTTTCTTAGAAATCTAAAATGTATTTTTAATTCTTATTATGGGGGCGTGAGTGTGGGTAATGGCATGAACGAAAGAGAAATCTAACACGTTTACCTATACAAACAGTCACCCTCTTCGGATTCTTTACAGTTTTGCTTTCGAATGCACGAAGTTCATTAGATAAGTTACTTGTTGTTTTGTATTCTAAAACAGTCTTATAATAATCTGAGTTAAAACTAAAGAAGAGATGACTGCATTTGGCGTTTTTGTTGTATTATTAATAGTAGCAGAAGTGCTGTCACCATGAGTTTCTTCTGTCAGAACTTCCAACATGAGAAATTTATACAAGAGAATGACTGTTACCTTTATCCTACTCACTTCACTTTTTCTTCAAATTGAATAATATTTTTAACAACCTCTTTTTGTTGTAGAGACATAAAAGAAAAGTATAAAACTGATAACGGCATTGGTAGCAAATAGAAAAAGAAAGTAAAAGTATTGTATCAGAGGTAAAATAGAAATGGAAGAAACCAAGAAAAAAACTTTGTTTTATTGTATGGTTTATTGTAGATGGTTGAAAAAACTCGAGGAGTCAGTGGATGTGGATGTGGATGTAAGTAGTAGTCTAATGCACATCCACATACACACTCTCACCCTCAAGAAAAGTCGAACTATGAACATGTTAAAAATTTGGGTTTTCAAGAATGCCAGTGTGGATATGAAATAAATACAATACTCGCACACACCAGAGGTCCAACAGACATACTTTTATGGGTCATCTTGAGGGTGTGGGTGATGATGTAGGTATATCTTATTTGTTGTACTCACACCTGCATTCACACCCACACTCACACTCGCTCACACCCACACCCACCCACCCCAAACCGACACCCACACCCCCGTTTTTATTAAATGTTTATCAACTTCAACTCATTTTTATCTGATAAGAAATCTTTTTTTATTGTTCATAAAAATATTTCAAGAACATCTTTTTGTTCAAAGATCAAAACATAGAAAATCTTGAATTTTTTATTTTAAATTCAAAAGAAAATGTTTATTTGAAAAAAACTCAATTAAATCTCATAGAGAAATTATCAAATAGTTATTTAGATTTCTTTGAATAATAAAATAAACCTCGCTGGAATTTTTATTAAACGAAATTATATAAATAAAGTTTCCTTTCATCAAAAATCTAATTTGAATATTGTGTCATTTCAGAACTTTTACTGCTTTTTGATTTTATTTCTGTTTCCATCTAAGTAAAAACGCCATTGATTCCATTTTGAAATTTCAAGTCAAATTTCTTTTCATTCATCTCATTTTGACAGAACCTTTTTTAACTAGATTTTTTGTTCGAAATTTTTTCAAGATTAAACAAAATAAAATCGGAAAATGATAAAACTTGTTAGTTTATTAAAAAAAAATCTTCAACATTTGTTTTGTTCAATTAAATTCATTTCAATTACATTTTAATTATCAAACTTTCATAAAACAGTATTTTCTCCTCAATTTTCAAACAATTCTCAAATTTTATCAAATCGAAAAAACAAAAAACATTTGATTATTTTCATCAAAGATAAAATCTTCTTTTCAAATAATTTTTCTTTAGTTCAATTCAAATTACAAAACATTTTCTTTTCCCTTTTTTCCCTTGAAAAATTTGACAAAAATTAAGAAAACATGAAGAATTAACGTTTGTTTCTTCGAAGTTTTTAAATAAAATTATCAAATTAGATTAAATTTTGACGAAAAAACACGAAAAAGATTTTTCTTCACTGCTTTCTTATCAAAAATTATTCGATTTCTTCATTGATTTTCAATAATAAAACTTAACTTTTCCTTTTATTTTTATTTTTCGATTTTTTACTTAACAAATTTTTTTTTTCTTTTTTTCAAAGTCAAAACTTCATTCAATAAGTTATTTCATATTTCTCAATTCGGTGTTTAAAACAATCAACGACATAAAGATTTCTTTCATCATCAATAGATAAACCTATCGGATAATTCAGTTGGTTTGATTGACTTCCTTTACCATTTCCACCAACAATAATTTCACCTTCTTCTTTCCCTTCACACCAACGCATTACTCGATGATTCCAACAATCTACCACATATATGTCACCCAAATAATCAACAATGATTCCTTTAGGTGAACACAGTTGATTAAGATTTTCTCCAAAACCATTTCCTCCAGCCACAATTGTTCCTTCTTTTGTATCTTTTCTCCATTTCATCACACGATGATTCCCAGTATCTGATACATAAACAGATTGATCTTCATCAACAAAGATATAAGTAGGATTATTGAGTTGATTGAGTTGAATTCCTTCTCCATTTCCACCTGCTACTACGATCCCTTCATCGTCATATTCGCCCATTTTCCATCGTCTCACTTCATGCTTCTTATAATCAGAAACATATAAAAATCTCTGTTTATCCATTGTTAATCGAGCACAGTCAATTTCCGTAATGAGAATTTGTTGCTTTTGATTCACCCATTGAATCACTCGTCTATTTCCATAATCAGCAATGATGATTGAAT